TCCCACAGACCATCCAGATCATGACGGGCTTCATGCACATCGGTTTCGGGATCGTCCTGACGATGCTCACCAACATCTACACCTCCGTCTTCGTCATCGGAGAGATCCCCTTCCTGGGCGGCGTGTCTGTGCGTGGGCTGGGGGGCCGGGGGGGGGGACACACCCGGGGGGACAGATGCCCACCGGGAAGGGATGCCCATGGGGACTAGATGCCCACCGGGAAGGGATTCCCACCGGGGAGGGATTCCCCTGGGGAGAGATGCCCACCGAGGAAGGTTGCCCACCAAGAGGGATGCCCACCAGGGAAGGCTGCCCTTGGGGAGAGTTGCCCACCAGAGAGGGATGCACATGGAGATAGGTGCCCACCAGAGAGGGATGCCCATGGAGATAGGTGCCCACCAGGTAAGGATGCCCACGGGGATGGTTGCCCACCAGAGAGAGATGACCATGGAGATAGGAGCCCACCAGGTAAGGATGCCCATAGGGAGGGGACACCCACCAGGGAGGGATGCCCATGGAGATAGGTGCCCACTAGGGAGGGACATCCATGGGGAGAGTTACCCACCAGGTAAGGATGCCCACGGGGACGGTTGCCCACCAGAGAGAGATGTCCATGGAAATAGGTGCCCACCAGGTAAGGATGCCCATGGGGAGGGGACATCCATCAGGGAGGGATGCCCACAGGGAGAGTTGCCCACCAGAGAGGGATGCCCACAGAGATAGGTGCCCACCAGGTAAGGATGCCCATGGGGAGGGGACATCCATCAGGGAGGGATGCCCACAGGGAGAGTTGCCCACCAGAGAGGGATGCCCATGGAGATAGGTGCCCACCAGGGAGGGACGCCCATCGGGCAGAGATGCCCCCCAGGTAAGGATGCCCATAGAGAGGGATGCCCACCGAGAAAGGATGCCCACTAGGGATGGTTGCCCACAGGGAGGGATGTCCACAGGGAGAGTTGCCCACCAGGGAGGGATGCCCATGGGGACAGATGCCCACCAGCATCCCGGGGACCAGGATTTCTAGTCCAGTGCCTGTAAAACTCCAGGACTAACAATACAGAAGTGGGGGGGTCACCGTGCCCCCCGAGAGCTGTGGGGCCACCCCCCGTGGGCAGCTTGTTTGGTGCCCCATGGCTGGGTGGGTTTTGGGGGGGGCTCAGGGTGGCTGATTGTCCCCCCTCTCTCCTGGCACAGTTCATCATCTCGGGCTGCATCTCCATCGGGGCGGAGAAGAGCCCCACGGAGTGTGCGGTGAGTGGCCCTGGGGACCCCCCCTTAAAGCTGCTGTCGGGGGGTGGGGGGTGGCAGCAGCTTGGCCCCGTGGGGGCAAAGCCACGTTTGAACCCTGTGCCAGGGTTATTTCTGGAAACAAAGGCAAAAACCCACCCTAAAAAGCAGCCTGAGCTGTTCCCCGCAGCTGCTGTGGGTGTCCCCCCCCCGCCACCTCCTCCTCCCCGGGGGTGGGGGTCCTCGCCGGGCTCTGGGGTTTGATGTTGTCTCCAAAAGTTGTCCCCCCAAAGCTTTTGGGTGCCCTCAGGTGAAGGGCAGCCAGACCATGAACGTCATCAGCGCCATCTTCGCTCTGCTGGGCATCGTCGCCTTCATCGTGGACCTCAACCTCAACGGGCTCTACCGGCCCAGCTTCGACCAGGAAGGTTACCTCGTCCTGGTAAGTGGGGGGCACAGCTATTTCCCTTCCTTCCCCCCCCTCCCCACCCCCCATCTCCATTTTTGGGGGGTTCACAGCACACCAGAGCCTGCCCAGATAGGGTTAAACCTTTTGAGAAGCTCCCCTGTCCCCTTCCCCATCCTTTCATCCTCCCTTGGGGGGTGTCGGATGCTCCCTGAGCCTTTTTTTGGAGGATGGGGGAGGATTTTCCAGGGTTTCTCCGTGGGGTTCAGCCCCATTGCTGTTGGGGACCCCGTGGCCGGTGACACCCCAACAGCGGGGGCCGTTTGCCAGACCTATTTCAGGCTGGTACCTTGGGAGATGACTCACATCCCGGAATTGCCCATTTTTCTCCATAAAAAAGCCCTAAAAGCCACCAGAGAAGAGGGTTCCCAGTGAGACCCCGGCACCCGCAGGGGTGGGAGGTGGAAGAAGGAAACACCCAGGAAAGGTTGGGGGGGGGAAGCCTGGGGTTTTTGTTTTTTTTTTCC